ACTGTGACCCGAGGAACCCCAATGGCCAGTGTCTCGTTAATTATGCTCTTCCATGCTTGGGAAAATCTATGAGAAGTTCCCCCACAGAAGCTGCACTGCTGAGTGAGAGCCACTAAAAATATGGCGGCCACTTTGATTTGGTAGCTCAGTGTCAAGTGTGAGGAGAAAGACGGCTTTATGCAAAAAGTAAACAGGAGAAAACATTCATTCTGTCTAAAACGGAACACCAGAAAGTCACAGTTCTGAATAATAAACTGTTCTTACAAAAGGCATTAATAAGCAAACATGGAGCCCTGTTACACATCCCTTAGGGTTAACTGTAGTCCACAGCAGAAACTTCTGCCTGAGTTTGTTATGTGTGCCATTCTCTTTATATGTATCTAATACCAGTAATAATAATACATGATGTGTGCATATGTAAGTGTATGCCATACATATATACACTTATATGCTGGCTACTTTATCTGCATTAACTCTACTAATCTTATCGTAACTCTACAAAAGAGGTATATTATGATGATCACTTTATAGGTGAGAAGTAGAGGTTATGTAAACCGTCTCAAGTAATATTGTTTGTAAGTGGCAGAGCCAGGGCTGGGGAAAAAATGCTCCCATCTGTAGTCTTGACTGCTTCACCGTATTGCCATTTATATTTCTTAATATTCAAGTACATTTGCATTTGCATGAAAAACACAGGAACTTGTGATCGCCTCATCAACTGGTTTAGTATGCTGTATACTTCAGTACCAAAGTTACCATAGGTTCAAACATGTCAATTAATGTCTTGTCTCTTGTATTTTCTTTCCAGAGAAGAGCAGAGACAGAGATGAAATTCAAGACTATGATAACCAAGGCTCAAGTAATTCCTTCCCTAAAGCAGTGCTCTGAAAATAAAAGAATTAAAATCACAGTACCTTTATTAGCTGTCCTAAAGAAATCCCACTTTGAGCCCACGCGCAAAGCTGCGGTGGGAGGTAATATTCCCAGTGAGAACATGAATTACAGCTGATTCTCATTATTTGAAAATTCTGCATTTGAGAATTTGCTTACTCACTGAAATGTATTTGTATCCCTGAAATCAATACTCATTAAAGTTTTCCAGGTCATTTGAACACACAGGCAGAATGGTTCACGTTCTCAGCTAAGGCCAAAGAAGATCACGCTCTGCCTCTTGTGTTAACTCTTACACTGTAAAGAAGTGTCCTTTCTGCAGTGTATTTAGGGCTATGCTTTTCACATTTTCATGCTTTTTGTTGATAATTTTGATGTTTGAGATGGCCCCTAAGTATAGTGCTGAAATGCCTCGTGTACCTAAGGGCAAAAAGGCTGTAATGTGCCTTATGGAGAAAACACCTGTCACATAATCTCCACTCAGACGTGAGTCATAGGGCTGTTGGCCATGAGTTCCATATTAACAAATCAAGTATGCATTATACAAGGTCTTTAAACAGAAATAAACATAATACAACGGTATGTATTGATCTGTTGATGAAAAATCCTCTGACCAGAGGCAGGAAGTTGGCCCCGTATTTTTCTTAGGAGCAATGATTCAGTATTTGCTAATTCAGTGTTTACGGAAACTTGATAGACTATAGCTACCATGAATGAGAAGACCAGACAGTGCCTTGTTGGGGAATACTAAACAGAGTGTGTGTGTGTGGGCTGTGAGTTATATGTAGCTTTTCTAGCTGTATGTTACTTAGGATAAACATGAGTAGGCCATTGATGGGGAAATCTCTCCCTCTCCGTCCTGGAACTATCCCTCTCCGAACAATAGAGTTGACCATCCAGAGTAAAGACTCAAGTAAATGACAAGAAAAGCAGAAAACACACTGACTTGTATGTATAAAGATGCATGCAGAAGTCCTAGTGAAGAAATGGTGGCAGAATTTAATGTCCCACACTGTCACCTGGGCTGGTCAGCTCAAGGAGCTTTGATGAAGCAGAAGAAGGAAGGAAAAACAAGTCATTGTTACCTAAAGACAATATTTTAAAATACCAGTATTACCCAACCCTAAATCTCTCAAGGACATTATTCACCTATGAAAGTGAAATTATGAATAACATACAATATTTTCAAGGAAAATGTCCAAGAATTATTTTCCTTTACATACTTGAAAGGTAGTTGGAAATCTTTGGTCAATAAAGTGTCTTTAATAAGATTTAAAATATGAAATTAAATGCATAGGTGATTTTTTTTAGATCTGGTTTTTACAATTTAAGAAAAAAGCACTGAGACGATGCATCCAATTATAGATTATAGTGATCAAAGATACTATGCATATCTGGCTGCTACGTGCCTGCTGCTGGCTGGGCTGTGCTCTTCTTTTGAGCACACGGGAGCAGCAGCAAAGTTCTGTCCAAACTCAAAAATGCCTTTGTCCTCTGATAATTAAGTTCCATGATACCATCTCTATTCGGTGAGATCAACCACCTAAGAATTAATTTCTCACTGTGTGAGTAAGGATCTTCCAAGTTGTAACCAAGGCTATAGCAGGAAGATAAGGGGTGTTAGCATGTCTACAGCTATTGTCTAATCTACTGCGTTACATCCTGTATCAAGAAAGGCTGGATCGGATGGTTGGCAGAATCTAACCAGTATTGAAGAATAAGACTGTGCTGGTTTGTCTACTGCACTATCCAGAGAAAACACTCAGGCCACCCGGCATGAGTGGTCTGTTCCTTTGGCAGATATATTTTGGCAGCCGCAGCTGGGCCCACCAATATCATCCTTACTGTTCTGGGGATTTCCACCCGGTGCCACCTAGGGTTCTCGGCCCCAAGGGTGTCTCTAGCTAGAGAAGACTGCTCTGAGATCATGCGTGTACCTTTGAGGCATGCTGGATGTGGCAGGCGAGCTCATGGCTCCTAGAAGCAGTCCTCGACCAATGACTGATGGAAAAATCAGAGTTGTGTGCTTCATTTGGGCTCCCAGAGGTTCATCTCCTGTCCTTGGATGAAGCTACAGTTGACTGCCGTGGATTGATAACACCATCGTAACTGACTGCCTTCCTTTACCCACTCTCCTACAATGTATCCTTCACCTTTTCAATACATCCCTTGCATTCAAATCCTTATCTCTGAATCTTCCCACAGAGTTCCCCTACAAAGTGTTCTAGTCTCCAGCATAATTATATTTCTCGTTGGATGTCAAGTAACTGGTATCCTGGTTTATACATTGGTGTTTTACTAGTTTAGCTAGTGAAAATCAGTTTTCCCGGGGGTACAGATAACTCTGGGTAGATGGACAAAATACAGAGAGTATAGACAAGCAGAGTCAAGTATTAGTGTAAAAAATTACTTTGTGAGATGTTCTCTCACTTACCTAACACATGTTTGATTTCATCTAGCAGGGAGTTATACAGATTTGTTGCCATCTTTGATTTCCTCCCCAAAGTTGTAGAGAGAGATGCACTGGGGGGAGGGGGCCTATAATTTATGGGTATGTAGATGTAATAGGTTTCTACAATATCAACCATTTCAACCAAGTTACTGAGGCAGATGGGCAGGGAGACCCATGTGAGATAGACGCTCCATGTCAGAGATAATGACAATGCTAATAATAAGAGCAAAGATGTGTATGTGGTTCTTTGTAGGGGCTTTAGATACCATTGTAAGAACTACATGAGTTAGGGAGCACTTGGGTGGCTCAATCGGTTAAGTGTCCAACTCCCGATTTCGGTTCAGGTCATGACCTCACAGTTCATGAGTTCCAAGCCCCATGTCGGGCCCTTCTCTGACAGTTCAGAGCCTGGTTGGAATCCTGTCTCCCTCTCTCTCAAAAATAAATAAAGATTCTTAAAAAAATAATTAAATGAGTTAGTAAACATAGAGCACTTACCAGAAAAATAAAAAGACTATAATCAATTTAGATATTTCTGGTAACTGATACCAATGAAGAAAAAAAAATCTAAACTAAAAATAATATTGCCAAAAAGTCCAAACAGTTTGATGTCACCCTGGGGAAAACTGTGGTATCGGAAAGATCTGTGAACTGAACGTCAGAGCCCACATCCTGGGTTCTGCCACTTTGTAGTTTTGGGACACTGACACCTCTAACCTCACTCCCTGTCGCATCTGTGAATTGCAGAAAGCAGGAGCAATCTCTTGGGGCTGTGCAAGGGCCTCTTCCCTTGGCTCACAGAGAAAGGAAAGAACAAAGGATGTTTGTTCAAATCGCCAGTGTGTTATAGTTGGTCAGCGAGAGAACAGAGAGAAAGACACACAGGGATGCCAGGTAGATGGCGTCCCCGCCTTCAGTGAGCTGTCTGTGCATTTTGGTTTTTCCCTGATAATAGCACCCAATCACATTACAATCATTATCTGCTGGTTCTGGACACCTGCACGGAGCTGCAGTCTGCAGGCATCATCTCTACAACATGAAGTTTTGCAAGACTGAAACAGGACATTGAGGGTTGGCCCCATCCCCTTGGCTGCATGAAGCTTGGGTAGACACTGTCACGTTCGCCCTCAAGGACCTCATTTGTGCTGCACTCCCTCTGTTGCCTGGCCTCTCCCTGGGTCCCCCTTGCTCTGAAGATTATTACCTTTGGTGAGCTCCTGTTGGGTCTCCCAGCCATCATGGAAATGGAATGTCTATCTTCTGTGCTTTTGTAAGTAGAGTGTGATTTTACCCCCAAGTTTGCAGGTAATACATGCTTCCCCTACCAGTTTTTATTGGCAGAGCAAGAAACGTCATTTCTAACTGAGCAGGTGCAGCAAAACCTGTCACTATCTTCACAAGATTTAGCATAATCTCAACGACCTTTTGTGACCAGCGGGCTGCGTATTTTCACATATCCCTAAGTCAAGAGTCCAAGAAAATAAAGATCATTACAAATCAAATTGTGTAATGCTTTTAGGTCTACTTGTATATTGCCTTCAGGTTATCTTCTTTTTTAACAGAGTTTCCTTTTGTTAAAAAAAAAAAAAGAAGAAGAAGAAGAAGTAGGGTAAGAAAGGCAGGCAAAGCTGGCCGCGAAGCTGTGAGAAACGCTTACCCCCACAGACCGTGCCGTCCAGGCCTTCACAGCGGCGGCCGTCGCATTCACACGTCTTGCCGTACACCCTGGGGTCTCCCGGAGGGTAGCAGGTGCACTTGCCACATTCGCATTTACCTGCAAAACGCACAGGGAGGGCACACTTGTTAGGAGGGTCACGGAATCGGCCAGGCTTCCAAAGGATACAAACAACTAACACACCATGAAGCCTGTTCCTGCTGCGCCTGGAAATAGTTCCACAGATAATTTTCTTACCCGCCTCGGGCAAGACCAAGACCAAGTGCCAAGGAGGCCGGGAGCTGGAGTGACGCTTTTGTTTCGTTCGGTTTTCAAGACGAATGAGAATTCGTCTTATTAAACCCTCTGGGCGTTTCATCTTCCACTTAGTCTGATGATACCAAATCATACATATTTTGACATAACTTAGGATAACGTTGTCATTTAAAAAAAATATTTTATGTATTGTTACTGGGGCTCTATCGGCCACATAAGCAAACGATGTTCATAGGTACATTTCGAGGTGATGTTTTTTGACAATTGGGCATCAATTTTGTAATTCATAGAACTCATTTTAACAGGGACCACGTATCAAAGTGCACGACCTTAATACCAGTATTATTCTTGACTTGAAATGTTAAAGTATAAGCGGTCTTTGCAATGAGTTGGATTCAAAGTTTGGGAATTCCTTAACTACTATCGTTATGGCTTTCATCATTATTTATTGAGCTGTAACTACGTGTCAAACACTGCAATTCTTTGAATTCCATCATTTTGTTTTCACCATACCACACACTGACCAGCATTATTACTATCATTTTACTAAACAGGAAACAGACACGTACTGACGCCAAGTTCCCTTCCCCGGTGAACCAGCTCATAAGGAAGAGATTCAAAATTTATATCAATTCTTATTAACCTTAAAATTTGCGCACTTAGCCATGAAGCCAGACTGCATTTTAATATACTCAACGCAGCACCGGGAGGCTATACGAGAAAGAAAATTTCCCTTTGTCTGAGGAATCGGTGCTGGTTTGGCAGAAATTCAGCTGGGTGACTACTCCAAGACATCTGTTCCTCTCTGTCATTAGCCCAACCATCATAATTACACACCCACTGAAATGATCATAAGATGCTTCGGGGCTGACCCTGCAATGTTGTTAGTCATTCTGTTGCTGCGTTTGTATCTTGTTAAAGAAATTCTGAGTTGGTAGATGATGGAAGAAAGGAAAATTAGTATTTCGAATCATATAATTTCAGAGCTGTAATTAAAGATAATCTAATGCAGTGATTCATAATCTTTTCTGGCAGCAGAGGTGGGGGTCACTGTCCCTTTGAGAATCTGGTGGAAGATATTGCAAGAGATAGTGTTGTTCTGGCTGCCCTTCAACCTGTCTCTCTTCCTACTTAGAGATGGGTCCAGGTTCAGCAGGAGGCAGAGCTCTTCCCCTTCCCCAGGGATACTCCCTCTTCCTACGCACTGGTGGACAGAAGAGGGACACACCAGACAGTCTTGGCCAGGGCTTTGGTTCTTGAGGGTGGAAGAAAAGGCACAGGGTCTGTGGCAGAGTTTGCAAGAGCAACAGCACAGAAATGAGTGTCCACAAGTGGAGGAACTCGGCACCCAGTTCCAAAGTGATGGCAGCAGGGGCTAGTTCTTGGCAGGGCCTTGATTCCCTGGGCTGTTGCATGAACTGGTAGTCCAAGCTTGCACTCTGCACCTAAACCCTTCTAATAAAATCCTTTTCCATCCTACTTAATGAGGTTGGTTCCTGTTGTCCACAGACAAGAACTCTTAACTGGTAGACCCCAGATCTCTCCTTGGAAAAATACACCAGCACTCATTTATTTTTTTATAAAGTGTCAAGAGGATCCATGACTTTCTGCAGTGTACTTAATAGATGAGGAAGCCCATGCAAGCAGAGGCTAAATGATTTATGTAAGGCCAGCAAAGTAGACATTAGCAAGGTTGGTACCGGAACCCAGATTTCCTGAGCCCCAGTTACCTTCTGGTGTACATAAACACATCTGCCCTCATCATGGGTGTGTGTGTGTGTGTGTGTGTGTGTGTATGTGTGTGTGGGTGTGTGTGTGAATGACAAAAAATTCCATTTTTTTGACTGTGGAGACAAAGAGACTAACCACAGAACCATCAGCAGCACAACCACATACTGTTAACTAGTCCTGCATGGACAGATATGGGAACCTTCCACCACATTATTCCTGAGAGGGAATGCAGTCCAGTTATCACATCAACATCAATTTTTAAGTTTGAGGGCATATGTATTTGTGGTGATAATTTATTAACATTTTAAGGCATTCTGGAAGTTTCCCGGATATGCATTATTGGCTTCTGTGCCTCTCTGGAAAGGATGATAGAAATGCTGGCATATGGATTCGGATATCAACGTTTCATTTATTTCATTATGGACAGTTTCTGTCTTGTATTTCTTCTATAAAGTTACACTGAAAAGTGTTCATACTCAGCCCTAGGTTCATTTTTTCCCTAGCAGATTATAATTCAGGTATCCTTTTTCAAATATTGGAGAATAATTAGCCACTCTGCATTTCTTGGTGTGTTTTTTTGTTTTTTGGGTTTTTTTTTGGGTCATGAATCTGTTGGGGTTTTAAAAAGCTATATTAAGCCAACTGTTAGCTGACTTACTTTATAGCTACAGCTGTAATACAGTTCATAGGCTATAGAAACTTCATATGGAAAGGCAAAACATCATAAATCAAGACAGGCTAATTTATTACAGAAAATTAATGAAGAGTCAGTTGTTCATACAGTCCACATATTAAAGTGCCTTATTTTGCTGTCTTAGTTCACAGCTTCAGTCCAGTCCCAACCAAGACATATACTTGCCAGTTAAATTTCTGCTCATCTTTCAATATCCAATGTCACCAAATCCACGATACTTGCACCCTGCTACTCATGTACCTTCACAAATACAGCAGAATCAACTGCCTTCTTGTGTGTCCTTATGATGTTTGAATCGATACTTATTGAACAGATGCACTAAACAATCACTGCATGTAAATAGTTTACTAATATTCCCACAACACATGAGCTTTAATGATAGAACTTAAATTTAGAATGTCTCCTCCAGAATAAATATGCCTTTCCAATTGGCCAGAAAAACTTCATTTGTGCTTCCCACAGTTACATCAATGAAATATGTCCCACAGCAAGCCCATCACCTTTATTCACAAACCTACTTCTCTTCCTGTATCCTGTTATCAGGAGAAGGTCACCATCATTTGATCTGTCACCAAATCTTATATATTTGATATATATATATCAAATATATATATCAAATATATATATATATATATATTTGATATATTTGATTCCTTTTTTCTTTTAATAAACTATTCTTCTCCTTCCAGTTTGAAATTTCATAAGATCCACTTTTTTTTTTTAAGTTCATTTGTTTATTGTGAGAGAGAGCAAGAGCAAGGGAATGGAAGAAAGAGTATGAGCAGGGAAGGGGCAAAGAGAGAGGGAGAGAGAGATTCCCAAGTAGGCTCCATGCTGTCAGTGTGGAGCCCGATGTGGGACTTGATCTCATGGATCATGAGATCATGACCTGAGCCCAAATCAAGGATCAACCTACTGAGCCACCCAGGCGCCCCAGATCCACTTTCTTAAAACATGTCTATGATTATGTAACCTTTTTTCAATTAATGGTCCCACGGGACCTTCAGGGCAGAGATCAAATTCCTCAACAGAGCTCTCCACCCCTGGTCCAACTCACCTTTCCCAGTACACATCCAGTGTTCACAGTACACTCATGTTCAGAGACTGATTTTTGCTCCACTTATTCTCTCTGTTGTGCACTCTACCACTTTCTCTATACCTTCCAATCCAATGTTCAACAGCCAACTCAGATCTCCTCTCCTCTATGAAACTTTCCTCTCCATCCCTGTTGGGTTACCTCAATGAGTTGTTCTTTCTCTCTGATCCCACAGTAATTTGTACACACCCCTTACTAGGGGTGTACACATCCCTTACTAGGGATCACTGCATGTAAACTTTATACTAGATAAGCGTATGCTTGAATCGACCACAAATACTGAACTCTCTGTGGTCCAGGCTGACAGTGAGATTAATAACCTATTGGCAGCCAGCAAAGTTCTCTGTTGATGGAGTAGGAAACACTGACAGGTTTATTGTCTTTCACTTTTTCAATAAGAGACTGAATCCAATCTCCTTCCTTTATTTGCTAAATGATATTATTATTTCAATGGCTGTTTTAGTGTTGTGGAGATATAAATGTAGCTTCTCCAATGACTACCAGTATTCACATAAGTAAGAATGAAGGATAGTGGAAGTTTGTACGTCTAGCACTAATAAGTGCCATTTTGTATAACAAATTGGGATGAGAATCTAAAGAAAGATACACTCAAAGAAATACAAATAAGCCGAGTAATTTTTGAAAAGATAATTCAAGAACAGATGGAAAGGACAGAAATAACCATCTGAGAAGAAACTAATTCAGCCAACATCATCAATATCATCCAACCAAAACTTACGTGAACTTTACACTGAGTCTGTCCATTCCTATTACATTTTAAAAAAGCAGATAACCTTTAAGAGCACACAAAAAGTCAGTCCAATGATACATGGTATGGCAATCCTTATGTACTGTATTTTAAGGCTTATACATTAGCATAGAGTAATGACCTAATGCAGGTATCTAGAAGTTCTGATTTAAAAAGATTTTACTTAAACATTTCTAATTTGACACTTCCATGCAATAAAGAAACACTCCAAGACTGACAAAATGCAGTTCATACTGCTATGCACAACTAGTCATTTTAAGAAATAAAATACACCTCACTTTAATATCATCTTTAAGTTTTCTTACACTCACTAAGAGAGCTAAACACGTGCATATGTTGGCCTTGGAGTATACTTTTCTGTAAGTACCATGTTAAAATTTAAAACCCTCGGGGCGCCTGGGTGGCGCAGTCGGTTAAGCGTCCGACTTCAGCCAGGTCACGATCTCGCGGTCCGTGAGTTCGAGCCCCGCGTCAGGCTCTGGGCTGATGGCTCGGAGCCTGGAGCCTGTTTCCGATTCTGTGTCTCCCTCTCTCTCTGCCCCTCCCCCGTTCAT